CCTATCTCGCAAGTTCAAGGTCCCAAGTTCAATCCCCGGTACCAAAAAAAAAAAAAAAGATTAAAAAGTATTTTGTATAGAACTAAAGATATTTATGAGAACCAAAAACAAAACAAAACAAAAAAGAAGTTTAAGTAAGATCCACACAGAAAACTAAAGCTCACAAACAGAAGTATGAACTGTTAATAAGAAAAAAAAATTTTTTTTTGAGACATCTATGTAGTGCAGGCTGGCCTTGAACTCGTGGCCACACTGAACTTAAAAAAATTTCACATGAAAGCAAAAAACTTTTTCAATATTTGTCATTTTATCAAATTAAAGACTTTTTCCTTATCAGATTAAGTACTAAAACTGACTATAAACTGGTCAGGTTTCAGTGAAACAAGTTCGTTCACTCACTGTTACTACAACTTGTCAACATATGCAACAAAGCAGTCAAATATACAAAAAACTCTTATGTACAATCCTTTTGTTATGTGTGTGGCACCCAGGCCCTTCACTCTGAGATACATCCCCAGCCCTTCTTTTTTTCTTTAACTTTTTATTTTGAGACAGGTCTAAGTCACTAAATTGCTGAGGGTAGGCTCAAACTTGTGATCCTCCTGCCTCAGCCTCCCAGAGTGCTGGGATTACAGGCCTGTGCCATCATACCTGTCCTGAAGTTTAACTTTTAGAATCTTCTCTTTAAAAAGTTATGGTTCTGATTATCTGAAAATGTCTTTGTTTCATCCTTATTCTAACAGATATTTTCACCGAGTATAATTGTACAATGAGTTCAATTTCCAGAAAAACAACAACAACTAAATAAATAAATCCAGGTGTGGTGGTACACACCTGTAATCCCAGCACTCTGGGAGGCAGAGTCAGGAGGATCACAAATTCAAGTCCAGCCTGGGTAACTTAGTGTCAACTTAGTGTCGTAGTGAGACTGTCTCAAAATAAAAATAATTTTTAAAGGGCTGAGGATATAGCTCAGTGTAAAGGTCCTCAATTCAATCCCCAATACCACCAAACAAATAAAAATAGCCAAACAAATAAAAACAGTGGTACATGCCTATAATCTTAGCACTCAGGAGGCTGAGGCAGGAGCGTTACTATGAGTTTGAGGCCAGCCTAGGCTACATAGTGAGTTCAAGGCCAACCTGAATTCTGGGGCAATGGCAAGACTCTGTCTCAAAAACACAAACACAAACACAAACAACAACAAAACCCAAAAAAACAAAAAGAAGAGAAAGGAAAAGAAAAAAAAAAGGAGAAGAAAAAGAAAAACTCATGATAAGGCAGTGGTCCTGGGAAGGAGGCAGAAGCCCTGATTGCTAGCCTGGCCCTGCTCATGGTTTCCACAAGGATGGCATACAGCCCCTTCTCTGGTGTTCATGGTGCATCTCATGGTTTAAGGATGACAGGGAACAACCTCCCTCAGACTGTGTTTATAAGGCAGGACTAAAGGCCTAAAAGGAGAAAATGCACTTAACATGGCTAGGCAGCAGACAGATGATAATCTCTTAAGTTCCAGCAAAGTCACCATGCTTAGTAAAAAAATGTATGGATGCTTCATAAAAATCTATTTTATTAAGACAGGTAAATCTCTGTGTATGCTTAAGAAATCAAATAATCATAGTTGTATGTAGTATTTAACCACCAGAGGACTCTTAAAATAGTGTCTCATTTACATTTTGTCTATAAATGTAGTTTACATAAACTACCTATTTCTACATCTTGGAAATAACACTTTAATTTTAACACAATACTTCCAGCTGTTTGGAAGAGACCAACTACTATACCATAATAGCTTGATGAATTTTAACTCTTTCAAATACATCATAGACACTTACATACTTTCTTAAAAAAATGAAGTCAGAGCTTTTAAATAAGGAGCCAAAGGTAATACCTACATCCCACAAAGAAAAACAGGAATATGAAGAACAAGGAACACCTATGTCCCTGGAAAAAAACTGGAAGGTCAGTGGATGAATTCTATGCTTGGTGAATAAGTGAAGGTAAATTCAGAAAAATGTAAATCAAAAGGCAATGGCAAAGTGGCATCATAATGAGATCTCTGGACCACCTGCTCCCACATTTCAGTGGGGTTCCTAGGATGAGAACTGGACAGGTCTTCTGATAAGTTCTCCTGGGATAAACTAAAATAACAGCAGTGTAACTGTGGACAGTTTTGCATAGTTAACTCTACTTTCCTGAATGGA